TTTAAGCTCACCACTCACACGCTTCGTGGCCACATAGGGGCTCCAACGAGGGCCACAATGACACAGTTCGCATGCGTCCCCGCCGCCCGTTTCGGCACACCCCTCACACGTTTCGTGGCCTCATAGGAGTTCAGCCGAAGGTACCAGTGTCACAGTCCGCATGCGTCACCGCCACTCATTTCGGCACACCCCTCACACGTTTCGGTGCCTCATATGAGCTCCGCCGAATGTCCCAGTGGCACAGCTCACATGCGTCCCCGCCACTCATTTAGGCACACCACCCACACGTTTCGTGGCCCCATAGTAGCTCCAACGAGGGTCCCAATGGCACAGTTCGCATGCGGCTCAGCCGCTCATTTCGGCATACCCCTCACACGTTTCGTGGCCTCATATGAGTTCAGCCGAAGCTACCAGTGTCAGATTCCGCACGCGTCACCGCCACTCATTTCGGCACACCCCTCACACGTTTCGTGGCCCCATAAGGATCTCCACCGAAGGTTCCCGTGGCGCAGTCCGCATGCGTCTCCCTCACCCAGTACAGCGCTTCTTGGCCCCATATGAGCTCCACCGAAGGTTCCCGTGGCGCAATCAGCATTGTTTTGCTTGTGTGCGTTCGCTTTGTGCACCACGCCGCTCATTTCGACACACACCTAGCACGGTTCGTTGCCTCATAGGGATCACAGCCGAAAAACATGAATCATAATTGCGGCCACCACACCTGCATATGGTTGGGTCCTTCGTCAGGCTAACTGTTAGGGGCAATTTGGGAACTAATGATTCACGTTCGAGCGTGCATCAGCAGGGGGGTTCATGTCGGATGTATACAGAATCAAAGCCACCTGTGTTCATGCATGCTCGAACATGATGTCATTCCTGCTACGTGCAGTTTGCTTAGATTGTACGTTGCTCGGTGTAATCGTTGCGTGGTGGGGCCACCCTGCGAGATTCAATTGACAACGGCATGCGGGGCATTGCTGGACGTTGAGATCGCCGACCCTCTGCCCATGATATACGCGGCTGCGGGTTGCGAACGGTACGCGGCCGTGCTCCGACAAACGCACGATAGGAAGCCGAGTTCCGTGCAGGACCCTTGGCGTCTCATTTTTTACAGTGACGAGGCAAAACCAGAGAATAAAATTAAGCAATTGAACAAGCGAACAATGGAATGCATATACATTGCGTTTCTGGAATTCGGCCCTTCCGCTTTATCAAAGGAAGATTTTTGGCTATGTATCGGAGCCGTCAAATCCACTGATGTTCAGCAGTGCAACTCTGGCATGGCGCAAGTGGTGGGGCAAATCCTCAAGCGCATATTTCAACCATGTGGGTTTGATTTGCGATTTTCAGGCTGTAGCACCGACCTTCCCGACGGATCGAACATTCGAATCATTGGTAGGTTAGGCGTGATGTTGGGCGACGAGGCAGGTTTGCACGCAACTTGGGAATGCAAGGGGTCAGCAGGCGTTAAACCATGTTGCCAATGTTTGAATATTGTTTCTAGTAAATGGATTGGGGCGACCCAGTTGTGCGCAGCTGATTCATTAAAGGATATTTCGACAGTGTATTATTTGGATGATTGCTTGCTTCACACTCGTGAGACTATATTGTACATCCTAGATGATTTACAAAAGCAGAAACCACCAGTCATGATGAAAGGCGACTTTGAAGAAAAAGAAAAACGTGTTGGGTGGTCTTGCAGCCCATACAATATTGCGGGCGATGAGTGGCTCCGAGAAATAGTTGACATCCCTTCGCAAAATTGCTTCGACTGGGCACATAACATATTACAGGGCATTTTGCAACGTGTTGTGTATTTGGCAGTGAAAGACGTGTCTCAGAGCAACATCAAACCCCAGCACGTTGAATCATTTCTTTCTCCTTTCAAGTGGCCCAGGAGGATATCTAGTAAGGGCCTCGAAGGCGTCGAAATGTGTTGTGCCAAGCGCGCGACTTCTAGTTGGAAGGCCGAATCATTCAAATGCAGTTGTAGCGAGGCCTTGTCGATCCACCTTCCGCTCGCACATTATTTCAGGAGCCAGGTGCGGCCGACAGGGCGGCATGACAAAACCTGTTTGGTTGTAGAGTTGATGGCGCTTTTAATTCAAATGTTGTGGTTTGGCCCCAAGTTGAAAGTTGCTGCATGCAGGGTCGCAGAGACGGCCACTCGTTTCGTGGCTGCTTTTGTTGACGCTTATGGGCGCCAGTGGCTCATCTGGAAATTCCACGCGACTCTGCACCATAGCCAGTACATAGCCCGCTGGGGTTGGAGCCCCAACACGATTGCATTAGAGAGAAAGCACAAGCAGATTCCCCGTTGGGGCACTGATCACCAGCACGATTGCAGCGGGGCCATTAAAGATGTGATTGTACAGAGCCTGTACAATCTTAGGGACGCCCCGTGGCTGGACATGTCAATCGGGCTCATCCAGCCGAGGCAGCCGAGCAAGCGTTTCCTGGCATTTCTAAATGAGCACGTCGGCGTAGGGCCGCACTTGACATCAGGGAAAGCTAGGTTTTCAGAGTGGGACGTGTGCTGGGTCGGCGATGTCGTGGCTCATAAAGTCACACAGACAAGCTGGCAAGTTGCGCAGGTCAAATTTGTTGCTTCAAATTGTGATTTAGTGTACGCGGCCATTCAGCCGTTCGAGCGCACATGGAAAGGCCCATGGCACAGCCGTTGGCGGAGCTGTGGGCTGCCGTGCTTGATTGACATTTCCTAGTTCCTTGAAGTGTTGATTCATAAATATTGTGATGACGAGTTGGTTGTCATACACCCGCTCGGCCTTGTATCATGAGAGGCAGTCGTTTGCAGTGAATAAGAATTTGAATTTGTATCACCTTCGCGCCAATCACGCGCGGATGCAGGAAGCAGAGACAGGGCACTTTCGAGCTCCCTGCCCCGAAAAATCCTTGGGGGGCCAAGAAAGCCCCCAGGCTCCCGAGAGGCCCCGAAAGTCCCCAATTAAGAGGCCCCCAAGAAGCCCAAAAGAGGCCCCAGGAGGTTCCAGAAATGCCGCCACGGGGTCCCCGAGAGGCCTCTCAAGAGACTCCAAGAAGCCTCCCAAGGAGGCGTCTTGCCGACGACCAAGTTTGACCCGCTTGTGTAATTTGCAATTGCCAGATCAGAGGGATGTGAATACAAATATGGATTGCTCGTTTCTGGACATGCGTAAGCTCATTTTTCCAGGTGGCGGAATGCAGATTTTATATTTGTGCTTTATCGATAAACCCTTTAGCAATAGTTGGTAAACCTTATTATCGATTGCTTAACACCTTTAGTAAAAGGTTTACTTAGGCCTCTTAGCGCTGTTAGCTAAACGGTTTATGTGGGGTTACGTGACCCTTTAGTAAAGCATTGCCAACACCTGTGTAATCATATCGAAATGCCATAAGCCATTGTAAAGGTTGGCAAGGGCCGGATCTATCCAAGTTCCGGTTCCAGTTCTGGTTCTGGTTCGCCTCCAGCCGGAGGGGGGGGGGGGGCGTTCTGGTTCCCGTTCTGGTTCTGGGTTTCCAGCGGGCGTGAAGTCGGTGAGCTGGAACTGGAACTGGAACTGGAACTGTTCCTGTTCCGGCTCCGGTTCCGGTTCCCATTCCGGTTCGCCTCCAGCCGGGAGGGGGAGGGGTGCGTTCCAACCCTGGTTCCAGTTCTGGGCTTCGAGCCAGGCGTGAATTCGGTGAACTGGAACTGGAACTGGACTAAAACTGGAACTGGAACTGTTCCGGTTCCAATTCCGGTTCCGGTTCCCGTTCTGATTCTGGTTCCAGTTCAGGTTCCTGATCGCCTCCAGCCGGGAGGGGGAGGGATGCGTTCCGGTTCCAGGTTTCCAGCCGGGCGTGAGATCGGTGAACTGAAACTGGAACTGGAACTGTTCCGGTTCTGGTTCCGGTTCCAGTTCTGGTTCGCCTCCAGCCGGGAGGGGGGGGTGCGTTCGGGTTCCAGTTCCTGTTCAAGGTTTCCAGCCGGGCGTGAGGTCGGTGAACTGGAACTGGAACTGGAACTGCTCTGGTTCCGGTTCCGGTTCCGGTTCTGGCTCGCCATTCGGCTCTGGGTCCGGCACTGGAACTGTTCTGGTTCCAGCTCTGGTTCCGGTTCCGGTTCCAGTTCCGCTTATCTGCTTGCGGTTCCGGTTCCGGTTCCGGTTCTGGATTCGACTCAGGGTCCAGTTCCTCCTCCTCCTCCTCCTCCTCCTCCTCCTCCTGATCTTCCCCGCCATCCTCCCCAAAATATTCCCCGAATGGTTTCCACAACGGCTGGGGGAACACACGGATCGCAGAGGTCTTGCCACAACGCTCGGCCACATGGGCGTTTCCAACAGGCAGGGGGCGGCGGTGACTCGGCGTAGGCATCTTCGATAATAGAGAGGGGGTCTGATTTGGGGGGGGACTGATCTGCGCTGTCTGGAAAGGCTTCGGGTGGCCTGAGCGAAAGGCCACCAAGTTCGTGGCGTGTCTGGGGCGCTCTACGATTGCCAGTCTGGAAGGGTCATGACCCCCTCCTTGTTATCATGGAATGTTGAGTAATTGCTCGCGCTGCGCGTGATTGCATCTGGCTTCGAGTCTAGCATTAGGTCGGGCATGTCCCCCTACAGGCGGATGTTGGACGAAATCTAAAAAATCGTCAAACAATCAAACATTAGCATACACACAAAAAACAAAAAAAAACGTCCCCAGGCAATTTGCTACTATTTGTGAACATTCCTCCTGCAGAGGGACAGACCCGACTCAAGTCTACCCTCGGTAGCTCAGGGCGATCACGAGCACGATCAGGCACGTCGAACGATGGAGACTACTCGGCGGCACGTCATGGGAGCCTCCCCATACCATCCTGTGGGCCGACGGCAATGCACGCTCATCGACGGTGACCGACGCTGTATCGACGCTGGCCGACGCCAATCGACGCTAAATCGGCGCCATTTCATTGATCACTAGACGCTGTTCAGCGCTAATCGACGCTCTAAAACAAGAACTGAAGACGGTACACGAGACTCCCACCATTTGCTTCCGTCAGATGGTAAGCTGTTGTTCGCTGGGCGAAACAACACACGCGCCCGTCCCGCTCGTGATCGAGCCAGCCGTCCTGAGCAGGTGCATATTCCGCGGGACTGGCCGAAACTTAGGTCGGGCATGTCCTCTTACAGGCGGATTTTGGACGAGGAATAATCATCCTGGCAAAAGACCCCACCGTATGCGGTTGTGAGTATCGCCTTCGTGAGAACCGCCTTCGGTGGAGCTCCCTACGGGGCCACGCAACGCGTGAAGGGAGCGCCGAAATTGTGCGGGGCCGCCATGCGGGCGCTGCCGCTGGGGCCGCCCCCGCAAGGGGCGCGTAGGTCAGACGAGACTGATTAGATGCTGCTGTAACCCCTTGCGGCTGACAGGCACCGGGAAAAGCGGGAGAAGACATGCGGGCGCGGCCATTGGGGCCGCAATGACAGAAGGCTCCAGCCTCGTCTTGACCATGCCGCTGAGCAGCGACTGGGCCTGCTGCCGTCCGCAGACCTTTCTCGCAGGCGCTGATCCCAGCTCTGCAGATGATGGTATGGGGCAAAAGATTCGTCTCGACTATGTTGAGCTGGCACGGCGGCAGAACTTGCCGCGGGTCGCCTCCCCCTCCTCCTCCTCCTCCTCCTCCTCCTCCTCCTCCTCCTCCTCCTCCTCCTCCTCCTCTTGATCGATGGATCTGACTGCGCTAGTACCCGGCGTCTGGAGGCACCCACGGCACGCGGCGCGCCATCATAGTCCACACGCGCGCGGTCCACTCGCGGTGGCTTTCGAGATCTGGCAGCGGCGGAGAAATGAGCCGCAATAGAGGCCAAACAGTCACGATATGGTTAAGAGGATCAATACCAAGGACAAAACTTATCACAATTGGCCAACACGTCGCAATACCCAAACCCCTGGTTCCGAACTGTGACGACGCACGCAAAGCCACAAGTTGCAAATCTACGATAAATGCGCTCGCCTCGTCAAATTCCGCACGGCGCCTCTGCTCTGCCAATTGCCGTAATTGTGGCGCAAGCTGGGTTGCAGTATGATCCCACTGCTGCAGCGTGGATGTAACCTCGTGGTACAATAGTGGACGCCACCTCTGGATTTCCGCGAGAAACAACTCGTGCTGACCATTACGCAGCAGCGCCCTGCGCAGCGGCAAGCCTGGCCCAGGATCTGCGTTAGATCGCGGCGCTGCTGGAGGCACACTATGCAATGAGATGCCGTCAGAGGAATATGTTGTGATGTTCCCCCAGTCACGAGCGAACGCGAGGCACTGTTGGCATTGCCATTCGTAGTTCAAGGATGACACCCCTGTGGCAAAATCCGCCGACCCCTTGGGTTTCGTCGGCGTGTGGAATGATTCCCCTCCCTAAACCCCTCCCCCAGGAGAAAGGTCTGGTCGACTTGGAGGGGGGGTCCATCGGGGACCGCCCAACTGCATCACGGGGGGCCAGAGGGCCCCAAAACAACTCAAGAGGGCCCCAAGAGGCCCTCCAGACGGTCCGGGAGGGCCACGAGCCGCCGAAAGATCGATCCAAAACGCTCACGCTGGCCTCCGGACGGCCCAAGAGGTACCCAAGACGCACCAAGAAACCCCTGAGAGACGTCCCGAGACGGTTTCAAAAAGCAGAACTCGCCCCCTTACCCCGGAAAACATGCATTTGTTGCACATTCGCATTCTATGCGTTGACACGGTCCGAGACGGCCCAAGAAGCTTTCTAGGTCACCCAAGAAAGCCCAAGAGGCCCCCAAGAGGGCCCCGGAACGACCCCAGGGGCCCCCAAGACCGCTCAAAAAGCCCCCAAGACGGCTCAGAGGAGGCCCCATGACAGCCCGAATAAGGGGCCCACAGGGCGGGACCCGAACGGAAATTTCGAGCCTTCGGCCCCAAACGCCCAGAAATTGCCCCAGCAAAAAAACCCAACAGGCCTGAGAGGCTCCGGAAAAAAACAGGGAGCCCCCAGGGGGGCCCAAGGAGGTTCAAAAACGGCCTCCCAATCGCCCCCGGGACGCCTCCCCCACGAGAGCCCATGTGCCATCCGAGTGGCCGCAGACCCGCCGCCCAGGCACGGGGGCGGGATGTGCCGAAAACCATTCGATGATCAGTTGTGTTGGTATTTTGACATGCGCCTGCCTTTGGTGAGTGTTGGTTCTTGCCAGTTCCCCGATGCGTGCACAGCGAACACTGAAACGGTCAGCCACTGAAATCACCATTGGCGGTTCGGGCGGCGCCGCGATTGCTGGGGGTCCCAGGGGAATCCTTCGCGAGCACGCGGTAGAAGTTTGAAGGGGGCTGGGAGGCCCAGCCAGCAGCTTCGCCTTGGGCGAAGCCACGCTCCAGCTCTGCTGTACCGTAGTAACGATAGTCCCAGTAGGAGAGGATGTGCCATCTTAAGCAATATGAAGATCCTTTTGGTCTCGAAAGCGATTGTGTGCCTCGCGATGAGGCACAGTCATATTTGGGCGGCCGGCCGCTTGAGCCGACGCGGCCGCGGGCGCACGCTCGCTTCCGCTCCTTACGTCCCTCAGCTCGCTTCAGAGTCGGGAGGGGAGGGAGACGAAGCGTGAGCCCGGTGCCACTATACAGCAGGCAGAGCAGCAAATATACACAAGGACAGAAAAGGGGCGGGCCAGAAGGAAGGTGGACCCGCTAGCAAGTTGCCTTGCTTGTACAGTTCTGCCCATGCCTTGTAGGAGCATTTCTCTGTCGATGCTCCCCATGGTGTGACCCTCCGCAATCATGTCGCGGGTGTCGTACCACTGAATACTGTGCACGATTCCACGCTCCATCATCTGTCGTATCCAACTGATGTGTCCTAAAAGGGTACACTCAGTCGGCTTCTTCAAGTCTTTGCTTGAAAGGACTTTAAAAAAAAACAGACTCAGCATCTATGGACAGAGTGGCCTTGATGCTCTGGCCACCCAATTCAAGTATATATTTCAACTGGGTGGGCGCGAGCGGCCCTGCGTGGAGCTCGCACAGTATCACAATCGTAGGATAAAAGTCCTCAAAATTACGGGCTGCTGCGAGTGTCTCTACTGAATAGCTCGAGCGGACCTGCAAGCGGTGAAACTTGCAGTACGCATCGATCAAAAGAACGACAGGTTTACCGAATGACGTGTTTCCACGTAGTAGCAGGTTTGCCCCGCGAATACTATAGCCTTTGACGTCGTCATCGGCGTCTCCACTCAGGCGTCGGCATCCTGAGTCGCCGCGCAGGTCAACCTCGCCCGTAGGAGCCATCGCCTGGTAAACAATTTTCTTTGGGCAGGCCTGCAGCTCCCTGGTGATCGCGTTCAGTCGTCGCACTTGAATGTTGGTCGGTTCTTGGACACGTTGTAGAGATACACCATACACCATCAACCACACCTGGGTGATTAACGCATACGCCAGCGCGCCCCTGAGGCCGACGAACATGTCTGCAACCATCTTGGATGCCTGAGCGCCAGCGTCGGCATCGGTAAGTTCAGGATGTTGAATGGGACGGAGCTGCTTGATGTATTCATCATGGTCCAAAGTCACATCACCACCCTCATCCTTTGTGTATATCACAATACAGTTGGCGCATGTGTGCTTGAGTTTACACTTACCAAAGGTGTCTTCTACGCAGTTGGCACACTTGCCAATGGTGTCCTCAGTATCGCCCATATTGATATCATCAACATGTTTGGCCGTGAGCAGGTTGTTGCTCGTCTCGAATCCCTCGTCGTAGGACGTGGGTCGAATCCCCTTGTTGCTCGTCTCGAATCCCTCGAAACCTCTGGTGGCGCTTCTGAGCTTCAGTGAGAAAGCCAGCGGTGCGTCGTTGGTGCCCGTGACTGGTTTCAAGCACTGCAGGCAATGCTTTGACTCGTCGTAGTGTTCGAATCCTGGGAGAGTTCGAAGCACTGCGGCCGATCCAGGCGGCAGAATAAAACAAACCACACGTTCCTTTTCACCAGTAGCCTCGGCAAGTTCCGAATAGGTAAACCCCTTCAGGAAGGCCATGTTGATGTCGAGGGAAGCAACGATCAATTGCTTCTTGTACGCTGCCGTGCTAGCGAGTAGCCTCCGGCTTGACCGTCGCGCCGCTCCCGAAAAGGTTTCTAAATCGAAGGCTTCAAAGTCCATGAAGCCTCGGAGTACCAGGCGTAATATGATGGTACGCTCCATCTCGCCATTCCCGTGCTTCACAAACTTCCACTTGCACACGTACCTCGAAGTCATGATGTTCGACGCTTTAGCTATATCCTGCATATTAAAACACTTATTGTCGAACCACGTCTTGAACTCACTGTAGAAAGCCTCCGATACACTGTCGGTATTCGCCTGGACGTCAGCTTTCGCGAGGAGGTCGTCTTCCTCGACGACCACAGATCGCTGTGCAACGGCCGTAATGTGTACTCGCATAGACGTCACGCGACCGGCATCTAGTAGCATGCGCCGTTGTTCGGACAGGACTACCTTTGACATTTCTGCCGTGAAGCAGAGTTCGACATATTGACCACTTTCGTATGAGTCCAGTCCGTAGTTGTAGTCTTCGACCATGGTACACATTGTGACGTAGTACGTCTCCTCGGTGTCGGAGGCGTGAGTGCGCCCCCACTTCGGCAGGTGTCCTCGCTGGTCATCAGCTACAGTGATCAGCACACTTTCATCTGGAACCATCTGCGTGGTCATGGTAAAGAAGTCCTCTGGTGGAGTTGCCTCCAGCAGTTCGCTGCCTCTGGTAGTTCTGCATACCACACTTCCCTAACATGTGACTCGAGAAAGCCGTCCATGCTCATGTGGCCGTTCGGCTTTCGAGGCTTCTCTTGTGGTTCCAGTCGGTGTCGATGTATCCGCCAATGCCTCAGATCTTGTCATGCCCTGCTCAAAACCTGCTTGAGGTTTAGTGGAATTCAAGCACTGGATGATGCTCGAATGCGAACCCAGTTATATCGTGTATATTCAGTGCAGTGGCTTCTGCTTCATAATAGTGAAATCCTGGATGCACATCGTTGTCATAATGGATAAATGTGAAGCTGTCAGCAAAAGTAACCAGTGGTAGCTTATGAATACTCTTAGCTAGCCTGACTAAACACTACATTCTCAAGGCGGAAGAAGTTTATGATGAGGTACTGTAAAACTGAATTTACCTTAAGGGATAAACGGTTTGCACTCGCCATCTGAAGCGTTACCTTCTTGGTCGGCACATAGCCAAAGGTCAGAGCAGGTCTCCCCGCTGACAAACTGGCCACGAACGTCAACACTGTACGCAGCGCAGTGTTGTCGGAGCCAATCTCTCGGGCTATCAGTGCTTCAAATATATGGTGAATGTCGTGAGTTGCCCAATTGTGCTTGGACATCTCGATTGCCCACTCGGATGGTGACTTGACCCCTTTCGGGATCATTCTTTGCAGCTGGGAATGGGCCGTTCCAGCCTCCCCAGTCATCCTTCGTGGTTGTGGGGCGATGATAATCGACCAAGTCTCCTTCATCGCAATACTGCTGACCAGTGATAGTTGTCTTAGTGCGTAAGGCACGATTGGTCTTAGCCACAGCTGTGGCCTGTGCGAAAGCTTCAACACATACCGTGCGCATCGTCTGTTCAACAGAATGGTCCGACGTTTCCGTCGGCTGCTCGTGGTCCAAGACATGTAAGTCAGGAAGCACTGCTGGTTGCCGTCCAAACAGAGCGCTATACGGAGATACCTCGTCGTAGGAGGTGAACGCGTCGGCGGCGAACAAAGCCTCGTGCAGTAGCCGCGCGAACACAAGAGGTATGTCCAGCCTGTTGAGTTCAGCTTCCACGACATGAAGTCGATGGCGCAAGATGCCACTCCTGGCTTCCATCGTCGTAGCGTGCTGTCCACGCGCACGTCTCCTAAAATCAATGCCTTTTACCGTAAGGACTGTTTTAGAAGTGTCGTTGTTAAGGGCACCCTCTCCGTCGGAGTAGAGTACCTTTGCAAGTCCAAACTGCATCCAGCACTGATGATATGCATCCAGGATACTTGTCATAGTCTTGTCTGGTGTCTCCATTCCAGTAGCATATAGTATACAACGATCGATGAGATGGAAGATGTTGTGTTCTTGGTTGTAGAACATCAGATCACTGTCCACTTATTCCTGTAAGTTGCCAGGCTGTGCAGTAGAGGGCATAACAATATGCCCAGGCTTGCCCCAAGCTCTGCACCCCCGACATGTGTCGCAGACACCTTTAATCAGGTTGAGTCTGACGCTGCCCAGACCTATCTTACATAAGATGAGTATCATCTTAGGCTCTTTCGCATGGAACCAGCGCAAACGTAACTTCCGCAACTCGCGTGTTACCACGCTTGGGTCACGGCTTCGCAAATTTTGTAAACTGA